CTCGTAATTGCAATATAGCCCATACTGATTTGTGTTCATAATTGCAATATTGTTGGGATTAATTTGGCACTTATCGTAGCAATATGGTCAATATTCTCTACTGACAGTAATTATAGCATCGTCCCTATATATTTGTGTTCGTAATTAAGTATATTCCGTATTAATTGTATTATTGGACGCTTGAACTATCTACACTGTGCATATTACTTCGCATAATAGCGTTCACATTTGTAATCGAAATTGTCGTTCGGTTTTCACGGTAGGTATTAAATTCTCGACTGGTGTTGTTAAATTATCTGTATTTATGTGGCGTTGGTAATTGCAATGCGGTATGTATTTAATTGTCTTAAGTAATGTTTGTATTTATGTGACTTAGGTATTTGCAACATCGTGTGTAATTAATTGGCTTTAGCAATTGTGATGTTGTCTGTATTTATTTGGATTTGGTATTTGCAATGTCGTCTGTATTTATTTGACTTAGGCATTAGCAATGTCGCCTGTATTTATTTGGTTTTCCCAATTACAATGTCGCCTGTATTTATTTAGCGTAGCTAATTGCAATGTCGTCTGCAGTTAGTTGGTTTTGGTAACTGTAATGTCTGTACACATTTGGTGTTGACAATTGCAATATCGTCTGTATTTATTTGGTTTCCGCAATTGCAATGTTGTCTCTACTTCTTGTCTTTGCTAATAGCAATGTCATGAGTATTTAATTGCAGTAAGAACACAAGACTTCCTTATGCTTGGACAGCGGAACGAGAACAATCTATCCGCGGTGCACTAGAAGAAGGGCGGTTGGTACAACATCCAAAAAGTTGCGATAACCTCAAAGATAAGGCCAGTAGTCCGTGTGTAAATAATATAAATAACGTTTGTGTTTACTAGACATTAATAATTGCATTATCGGCTGTATTTTTTGTGTTGTTAATTTCAATCTCGTCTATATTGATTTCAAGTCATCACTGTAATATTTTCCAAGCTGATTTGGGCCTGCTTATAAAAACGCAGTCCATATTAATTGTACGATTCTTAGCAGTATCTTCCAAGTTTTGCCATTTGTAAAACTTCTTTACACTTCATTAGATAGATTTATTACTCAATGATAATGGAACGGAATTCCAGAACTCTAGTCAACAAACTGTCCACAGAAGAAGTAGAAAACTGATTACGAATACTGTCAAATATTAAGGATAACTATCTTAACCAAGGCGTCATCTGGAAATCTTGCTAGTCAGTCTAAAATGCACGAGTGCATATTATTATTGCACCAAATCCGTGCCACTCAGAGGATATGGGGAAAGAGGCGAGTGCTAAAAAATGCTTACCATCATAACTATTTATTATCACACACACAGACACACACATACAAACATATATATATATATATATATATATATATATATATATATATATATATATATATATAACATTTATCAATAAGAAAGAAAAGGTCAAATAGAGTATACTTTGCATTGTGGTTTTTGAGAGGTTTCTCATATTTGGGTTAGAAGCAATGGTAACTCTGTGGCCTGGTCTCATATGGGTACAATTAGACCCTTTAAAAACCATGTTACTCTTCGGGTAGGGGTATCAGTTGCATTGTGAAATCAATTCTGTAAATAAAATGTGTTCCTGTAACTTGGACCGATTTTAAATGTGAATTAAGTTTAAGCGTCTAATAAATTTTTTCTTTTTCTTTCAGATTTATCACCTTTAATCTTTGGCAATTTAAAAAAAATCATTTTACCCCAAGCAACACAACAAAGCCCCAAAGACGCAAGTAGTTTCTGAGAGGGAAAAAAAGAAAGTGAGAAAATGATATTTAGAAGAAAGGACAATAAAAGAATACGATTAAAGGAGAAAGATGACGACAATTGGCGTTGCATTTGAACTTTTGAATATTTTAAATGACAGGAAAATACGAAACTGGAAGAGAGCTCCATAGCCGAGAAATCAAAAATGATATTTGGGAGAAAGGACAATAAAAGAATAGGATTCAAGGAGACAGATGATGACAATTAGCGTTGCATTTGAACTTTTGAATATTTTAGATGACAGGAAAATACGAAACTGGATGAGAGCTCCATAGCCGAGAAATCATTCTAAAATGATTTTTTTTTAATTATTGGTTTAAAGATAGACATTTTTTAAAAGTATATATTAATTAATTAATATAGAATAAAGGATATTCCTATAACCTGGACCGATTTTAAATGTGGATTAAGTTTAAGCGTCTAATGATTTTTTTTCTTTTTCTTTCAGATTTAACAACTTAAGTCTTTGGCAATTTCAACCATGGAAAGATTAACAATCAAACAGCGTGTTAAAGTTATCAAAGCCTATTACGAAAATGGACGTTCAAACAGAAATGCATTTTTCACACTTCGCGATTTTTTTGGTCAACATAATCGACCAACTGAGAGTGCAATTGGAAACGATGTAATGTTGTTGTGGAGAGGTTCAATTCCTGCGTGCGATGACGAATTAAGGGGTCTGGATTTTTGGCTACATTCTCGTGTACTGCAGCAATGTTTTCAGATGAAGGGCGTAAACGAGCACGCACTGGTGTTTTTACATCTGCCACTGACCCAGTTTGTTTGAATTTACGAACAATTTATCCACTCGTGGAACTTTAACAAGTTGTTTGATTGTTAATCTTTCCATGGTTGAAATTGCCAAATCCTTAAGTTGCAGGATCTTAAAGAAAAAGAAAAAAAATATTAAACGCCTAAAATTAATTTACATTTAAAATCGGTCCAAGTTATTGAAACACCCTATATAATCCAGAGTTTTTGCCCTCATTTCATTTAGCCATCTGTTTCATGGTGATTACCGATTGAGAGAAGGAATCGGTTAATCTGTTTTAATTACATTCTACAGACTAAATTTCCTAATTTGAAGAGGTAATAATTTTATTACAACGGCAAATTATTTCTATATAGAAAAGAATCAATAAGATTAAACTTTGATCATCGAAGTCTTCATTAGAATAGGTGTATGAATCCTTGGAAGAAAGTTCTTTAACGAATACGAAAAGAAGATTAAATCGTTGGATACTAATCATCGAAGTCTTCTTTAGAATAGATTTATGAATCCTTGGAAGAAAGGTCTTTAACGAATACGAAAAGAAGATTAAATCGTTGGTCTTTTAATGATAGAAGTCTTCTTTAGAAAAGGTATATGAATCCCTGAAAGAAAGGTCTTTAACACACACGAATAGAAGGTTAAAGCTTCGGTCCTTTAATAATCGAAGTTTTCTTTAGAATAGGTGAAAGAATCACTGGAAGAAAGCTATTTAACGAATACGAATAGAAGTTTAAATCGTTGGTTCTCGTATTTTTTGACATAGTTATTGCAGAAATGTTTGCATTTATTCATCGTATTATTATTACTTGTAATGATTCTTATAGCTTGCTTCACAATTGGATAAAAAGTCTTTACATCAACACTTTTGTAACGGGGCTTATCTTTTGAGTATGGTCATGTGACAACCACACATTGAGAATTCTTTCATATAAGTTAAGATTCTTTTAGATAACTTTTATGGTAGTATAATTTCAGGTAATGCCGAATTAATATTTTCTGTGAGTCAGGTAAGCTATTGTGGTGATTATATCGAGTTACGATTTATATAAATTACTGGATTGATAAGCGCATTGTGCCAGCTCGGTTTGGTTTAGTGAGATTGTCAAGACATTCAGTCAAAAAGGAAAGGCATATTCATGGACAACTCAGGATGCATAAAACTTTGTTTACATGAATGAACCCTATCCTAGCAAATGATTTGGACAACGTTTTTGAAATGAGAGGTAGAAAAAACGAAAGTGAGAAGAAAGAGAAGGAAAAAAAGAAAGAGAGAAACTACTATAGCTGGGGTAGAGAAAAAGAGAAAGGGAGAGAGAAAAGAAGAGTGAGAAGAAGAAAGAGAACGAAAGAATAAGAGGTATAAAGAGAGACTGTGAAACAAAGGGAAGAAGAGAAAATGAGAAAGGGGGAAGCTAAGAGGGAAGGAGAATAAAGGAAGGAGAAAGTGAAAGAATACAGAAAGAGACAGCAGAAAAGAAGGACAGGAGAATGAAAGAGGGCGGGAGAGAGAGAATACAAGAGTGAGGGTGGAATACAGAAAGAGTGAGAAAAAGGAAGAGAGCGATAGAGAAAAGAAGAGCGAGAGAAAGAATCAGATAGGGAAAGGAAAGAAGGAAACAGACTAAGGGAAGGAGAGCGTTGAAAGATAGCGATAGAGTGAAAGAAAGAGAAAGGGACTGAAATGAGGGAAGGAACAAAAAAGGAAATGAAATTGAGGGAAGTGGGGAAAGAGGGATAAAAAAGAAGAGAAAGAGAGAGAAAGAGACAGAATAAAAGAGAACGAGAGAGGAAAATAGAGAGTGGAAGGAGGAGGGAAGGAGAGTGGGGAACATAGGAAAGAGTGAAAGATGAGGAGGTGAAAGAGACAGAGGAGAAAGAGAGAGAAAGAATCATGTAGAGAGAGAGAGAGAGAGAGAGAGAGAGAGAGAGAGAGAGAGAGAGAAAGTGTGCGGCATCGAAATACGGACATTGTTCATGTCTTTACAATGTTATGATTTAAAGTTGTAGCTCGAGACAGTCTTAATTTCAGAAAAGACTGCAAGCAGCAGAAATCTGGTTCTACAGAAGGGTGCTGAGGATTGCATGGATTGAATATCTGAGGAACGACCAAGTTCTAGAGAAAATGAAAACAAAAAGGAGACTTATATTTAATATGAGGAAGAGACAGCTGAAATTTCTAGGACACATAATGAGAAAAAGGGGCTAGGAAAATCTGGTCCTCACAAGATAGATTGAAGTTAAGAGGAACAGATGAATACAACGCATAACATACTTACTGAGTAAATGGATGGCGGAACTAACAAAAAGAAAATTTTAAGGGAAATAACAAAAAAGACAGAATTTATTAAGATCTACAATGGATAGGAAATTGTGGAGAGCCATGATCGTTTACATCCCACAGTCTTATTCTGTTTATGCCCCAGAATGAAAGGAGCTTCAATTTTCTTCTTTCATCGAAAATAAAACTCTTCTATTTGTGTTTGCATTTTTTTTATCTCATGTTTATCACGGGACAAGAGAAAATAGTATGAAAATTAGTCATATCGTCTTCACATACACCCTTGGGGAAATTAATTGAAACAACCACGTTTCGTTTCTTTCACCATACGGTCAATTTTAGACCCACTGGTGTGACAGGATGTTATCGATTTCTATTTTTTCCTCAGATAAGGTCATTTGCAATGGTGTGCTCTAATATGAATCTATTTTCGGGGTATACGATGAAATCTGTTTGTCCTTGAAAAATATTGCGTCATCTGTAATTGCATTCGATTGTTAACACACCCAGACACTATTGTCTCGACTGTCGATTTTTACTCCTATGGCCTAGTCTGCGATGAATGTTACTCCAAGGATGCGTACAAAAAATTTTTATGCTGCACGGACACATTGGCAAGACTTACCAGTGAGCAAGTCAAAGTACTGAAAACTTTCCTGATTTATATCCAATCGAGAATCTGTGGTCAATTTGTGAGGAACGACTTCGTGGAACGGACATACGAAGTAGAATCTTATATTAATACTACTTTACCTATTACGCTTATTAGGCTTTCAACTTAAATGTTCCCAGGTGAAAACCTAATAAGCATAATGGGTAAAGTAGTATTAATATAAAATTTGGACATTAAATGAGGGATCAGTTTTCTATTTTTTTTAAGCAATAAACTGACCTCCCTATAAATACTGCATATTAATATAATAATTGGAAAGCATATAGTCAAATGTTGGTAAAACATAATGAAAATAATAATGAAAACATAATGAGGTGAAAACGTAATGAGAGGAATGGACAAAGTAGTATTAATATAAGATTTTACAGGACATAAAATAGGGGATCAGTTTTCTATTGTCATCATCTAATACACTGATCCCTTCCAGAAATACTACATGTTAATTAATGATTGGAAAACATATAGTCAAATGTTGGTAAAATACGAAAAAAATTAATAATAACAGAATTATTAGTTTTGTTTTAATTAATTTGCACAAGGCTGTATATTAATATTGGGTCCTAATAAAAGTTTTAGCAATTCTTAAGTGAATTTCAAAAACTAAACAATATATTTTTATATAGATTTATTCAACCGTATATGTGAATCTAAATGCAATGTCAATCGTTATCTTTTCTTCTTGATTCCTGTTCTCTTTTTGTTTCATTTGCCTTATAATGTTTTCTTTTTCTCCTTTCTTTTCCACTCAGTAACTTCTTGTGTCTTAGTTGCTTTATTGCTTTGATTGTGTTGAAATGATTAAAAATATATTGTGACCAACTAAATTTCACCATCTTTGGAATAGCTTCTTGATTCCATCCTCCAATATTTTCTGGGTGACAAACCTGCCTAAAGTGTGTGTTTTTTAAAGACTTTTTAAAATATCTTTTTACAGTGATTCTCACCCTGTACCGAGAGCTACTTGAGGTAGTGGGCTACAGATGTAAGGAAGATTGAACTGGTTAAGCTTGTAGTAATCTGGGAAGCATCCACTTAGGAGTCGATTCCACAAAGCAGAATTTCGTGGTAAGAATCTGCTCAAGTGGAATTTACATCTCACCAATGGAATACGAAGGTAATGAAGGTGGTTCGCTAGAATAGGCGTAGTTCTTGGCGTTTTTTTTAAAGTTTTCTGTATAGTTTGTAGCACGTTTTTAAGTGAATTACAGCAACTAAACCATATATACGGAGACGATATAACTAAATTTGATACTATTTTCGGTTATCACGTGATAGACATGAGATAAAAGAAACATGCAAACACAGAGTAAAAGAGATTTAGAGTTTTATCTTCGATCTAAGAAGAAAACTGAAGCTCCCGTTTCTCTGGACAGTGGAATTTTCAGCAGTTTATTTAAGAGACCAATCTGCCAATCTAGCGCTGCGCTCAAATCTATGAAGTCGATATGGCAAAGAGGAAAGCTCATCAGAACAATTACCATGAAATTATTTATAGAAGAGGCAAGGTGAAGCAACGCGAAGGTGGTGGGAAGGTGACTATATCCGAGATGCCAGGTTAGGGCCGATAACATAGGCGATTCTTCCTTTGATTTTTTTCAAGAATCTCTGGACACGTAGCAAAAGCACAAAACGAGATGTGGCAGCAATATCCTATGCACGAGCGATTGGTAGACTTATAAATGTACAAGGCAGATTGTGACGAGAAAAAAGTGTCTTGCACGACATCATGAACCGACCTCGTTAGCAGCAGACCTAGCAATTGATTCAATGTAATCGTTCTACTTCCTGTCAGGTATAAATGGTGGCAACGGAAGTCGCAATGAGCCACTCTAGTTGAGCTTGGCATCCACCAGGTTGATGGTAAACAAAAATAAGCTTCTTCAAGACGATTAAAAAGAATAGTTTCATTTTGCAGGTATTAAAATGAACAAGCTATTTCTTGCCCGAGTTAATAACCGATTGAATTTAATCTTTGATCAGCTAAAAATTAGAACTTCCTAATGGCCAGAGTAACCATTAAGATTGTAATAAATAATTGTTTAATCAGTATAGATACTGAGTCGAGGACTGATGACATTGGGAGGGTCATTGAAGAATATTAGGTACAGAGTAGGTCTAATAAAAGGCAACTCTTTAACCTGTTCATAATTTGCCACAGTTGCAGCTGAGGTGAGAAAGAATCGCGTCATGTAAACGCTGCTTTTTTTTTTAATCAATTCATCCCAAGCAAGGCAAGAAAGCTACTAAAACACAGGATTTTCTGAGTGTGAAAGTATATAAGAAAAACATTAAGACGGTAGAACAATAAAGTATCAGGAATTAAAATGACAGACAGAAAGAAATAGACGACACGGTACAAGATTCAACAGCGAAAAATAGTTCTCTCGCCACGAAAAAGACGCCATTTTGTTTTTCATATGTTCTCCAACTACTTACAATTATTCAAGAAAAAAATTAAAAAAACAAAAATTAAAAATAATAAGTAACAGTTCACTAAGTATTTTGAACATTGTCACGATGTTCAAAGCATAGTGCCTGAAGTAAAAGTTAAATTTTAGCAAGAAAAAAAAAAAAAAACAAAGTAAAATATTTTAAAAAAATCAAATTTATGTTTTGTTTTTGCTCGAAAATCCCGTTTTGCATGATTCTTTACCATGAAATCACGTTTCCATGTTTTTAATTTATGCTCATTTCATCTCATTTGTCTTGGGTCCATAAAGAAATATCTGCATCCTTTGAGTTAAACCCAAGAATTTTTTGAGAGAATTCATTTAGTGTTGCATCACTCCACCTCCGCCATTTATTGTCGCTGCACATCTCTTTCCCACTCTCGATCCCATCTCTCTCTCTCTCTCTATCTATCTATCTATCTATCTATCTATCTATCTATCTTATTCACATTATCTTTCTGCTATGTTATCCTTTCTATCTATCTATCTATCTATCTATCTATCTATCTATCTATCTATCTCATTCACATTTTCTTTCTTTCTTTCTTTCTTTCTTTCTTTCTTTCTTTCTTTCTTTCTTTCTTTCTGCTATGTTATCCTTTATGTTTATCTATCTATCTATCTATCTATCTATCTCATTCACATTGTCTTTCTTTCTTTCTTTCTTTCTTTCTTTCTTTCTTTCTTTCTGCTATGTTATCTTTTATGCTTATCTATTTATCTATCTATCTATCTTAGTCACATTGTCTTTCTTTCTTTCTTCATTCTTTCTTTCTACTATCTTTCCTTTATCCTATCTATCTATCTATCTATCCTTCTATCTATCTATCTATCTATCTATCTCTTTCTTTTACATATCTATCTATCTATCTATCTATCTATCTATCTATCTATCTATCTATCTCAGTCCTTTATATCTATCTATCTATCTATCTATCTATCTATCTATCTATCTATCTCAGTCCTTTACATATCTATCTATCTATCTATCTATCTATCTATCTATCTATCTATCTATCTATCTATCATTCATCTATCTATCTATCTATCTATCTATCTATCTATCTATCTATCTATCTATCTATCTGCTTTCCTTTCTTGCTACTTTTTTGTATTTTTCCTCTGTATTCTGAATTACCTTACTCCAATCCCAAGCCCCATTTTGTACGCACGTTGTATCCGATTGCCGATCTATATTCCCCTAATTCCAAAATTCACCTCCTGTCTTACACAGCTTACCAATCTTTGCTTATGGGTTTCCACTTCGAAACCCGTCAAGGCCTCATCAACCCTCCAGCGATCACTCTTTTCTTCTATCTACGTCTGGACATTCCCCCACCGTATAATCTAACACTTTCTTTTATATTTGAATTATTATATTTTTTGTTGGACATCCTTCTTTGTTCTTGTATTTTTTTCCTGCATTTTATTTCTTTTCTGAATTAATTTTACTCGGATTTTGAAACTACGTCATTCCAAATCTCGCGAGATTTTGATCTTTTGAATAATATTTTTTTTTTTTTTTCGGGAGGTGAGGGACATAAAAATTTATTCAAATTTCCATTTCTATTTCTAAATAGTTTACTCACTTTAATATATTCTTCCAGATTATGTATGCCTTTTCTTTTCTTTCTTTCTTTCTTTCTTTCTTTCTTTCTTTCTTTCTTTCTTTCTTACTCATCTATCTATCTATCTATCTATCTATCTATCTATCTATCTATCTATCTGCTTTTCTCACTTTGTTTGGTTCTTCATTTCTTGCTAATATTTTGGTATGTAATCCATACTGCTTATCTATCTATCTATCTATCTATCTATCTATCTATCTATCTATCTATCTATCTATCTCAGACTGTTTATAATCTATCTTAGTCTGTTTATATCTATCTATCTATCTATCTATCTATCTATCTATCTATCTGCTTTTCTCACTTTGTTTGTTTCTTCATTTCTTGCTAATATGTTGGTATGTAATCCATACTGCTTATCTATCTATCTATCTATCTATCTATCTATCTATCTATCTATCTATCTATCTATCTATCTATTTGCCTTGTAGTTTTTTCTCTTTTTGTAATAATGGATGTGCTGGTAGTGTATCGGTTAGTGACAATAAATCGACGAGCCGAGTTTGAATTCCGGTCGAGATCGTTACTGGTAATTTTGCACAAAGCAGACAGGTTAGCCTATCATCCGTTCCACGTTCCGCCCCTGTCTTTTAAACAGGAGTAGAGGTTCATCCTTTGTTTCCTGTTTAGGATTTGTTTCCGGTTCCTTCTAATGTCTTTTCATTCTCTTTTGCTCCCAGTAGCCCTTTGCGTCTGAGTTGCATTATCACCTTGCTTAACTGATTAAAAACAAGAACATTGGGAAAGATATGAATATATCTTTTTTCCTGTTTACAGCTAAATAATAGGGCCAAAAATGACAACTTAGAATTAAAAACTGAGCTCTATTAACCTGAAAAAAAAGAGGTAGATTTCAACAGCCATGGTTTGGTTTGGTTTGCTTTGTTTTACGGCATATCAACCTCAATGGGTTATTTTATGCCGACAACTTTTTTTTCCTGGTAATATTTTTTGTCAAAAATCTATTTCTGGTAATATTTTTTTTCTTCAAAAATTTATTTTTGGTAATAAAACCTATTTTTTACACCTTCATAATGCTTTTTACTTCAGTTTCGGGGTTAATTATTTGTCCATAGCTGGGACCCTAACACCAGCAATTAACAGGTGGTTTAATACTCCTCAATATCTCCTGATCAGAGGCCTTGCAGTTGGACGTAGTTTGTCGTCTTACCCTGGACGGTCAACAGCCATAGATTATCCCACTGAAGAGCTTTTATCCAAGATGTTGTTGATACCAAGGACAAATTTTGCCATAGTTGAATTTTTGATAATATCGGGAATTTTTTTATTGATTCAGCCAAGTAAGGCGATAATGCCACTAAAATGCAGGAGGGTTACAAGGTGTGAAAGTGAAGGAGAATGTGAAAACTGAGAATGGGGAGGATTGTGAAAAGGATAAAAAAATAACAGGGTTCAAGAAGATGGAGAGATGACGGTTGATGTTGCATTTATTTTTTTGAAGATTGTAGTTGTCAGGGAAGTAAGAAATTTGAAGGAAGTTCTACAGGTGTGACGTGCGAGAAAAGAAATTGTTAGAGGAAAAGTGGCAGTTGTATCTAACTATTTCAACAATAAAACTGTGAGACCTACTTGCCAATCCAGTAGAACGATTAAATTCATGTAGTCGGGTCACCAGGTAAAAAAAAGATGATCAGAATTGTTGCAATAGAAATAATTATAGAAAAGACAGAGGGAAGCCTCGTCACGTTGATGAGAAAGAGACTGAAGTCGAGATGTCTGGTCAGGATCAATTACATTATTGACCGTTCTTTCGATGTTGCCAAGAACCTCGAGATGTACAGCAGGAGCATCAGACTCAATATGGCAACATTATTCAATGAACAGACGAATGGTAGATTTATACATATGGAAGATGGATTCTGACGAGAGACATTTTCTGGCAAGACACTGTGAACTAACTTTCCTTGCAGTAGATGCAGCTATTGATTCAATGTAGTCCCATCATTTCATGTCAGTTGAAAATGCGAGGCCAAGAAGGCGTAGTGTGCGGATTTCCTGCAGTTTAGCATCAACCATGTTGATGTTAGGCAATAAAAAGCTGGACAGATGATATAAGCATGCGTTGCGGGTTGGGAAGAAAGCAGTTTTATTTTGTTTTGTTTTTTAGAGATAGATTTGGTATTACCGTAATTCTTCATGTATAATACGCGTTTTTTTCAAAAAGACAATTAGCAAAAAATCAGGGGTGCGCATTATGCATAGCTACAAATTATCTTTAAAAAACTGCCGTAAAATTAAATAAAAATTATCATAAAACTAAATTAGAATAATATTATTCTATGTTTAAAACCATTTTTTAAATAAGAGTAGGAAACGATGGCCGTAATTAAAATGGAGAGGTACAATTTATAGGGTTTGATTACCAAACAAGGGATGCGTATTATGCGTGAGTAGAAGTATTTCCCCACACTTTCAGCACAGTCTTAGGTGTGCGTATTATGGATGAAGGCGTATTATACATGGGGAATTACGGTAATAAAATTGACATGACTAAAACATTTCGAGAGTTTTGAAATTTCGGTAATCTTTGTAATTTTTTGTATGTTGGTAACAAGGTACAGTTTTAAGAATACTATTTTCTCGTTGCTGATATTGATATACCAATATTAGGTCGGTATGTCGAAGCTGTGAGGGGAGGGCAAGCTAACGGTTATTATCTTTTCTCTGCAGACATTGCTAGCTTCTCGCTACTCTATCACTATTTTTAATGTCAGCTGTTCAAGCAATCAAGCAACGTGTTAAAGTTTCAAGAGTGCAACTGGAAAAATTGTTTGTAAATTCAAACAAACTGGCAGATGTTAAAAACACCAATGCATGCTCGTTTACGCTGTTCAGAGTGCACGAGAATGTGGCCGAAAATCCAGATACCTCTATTCGCCATCGCGTGCAGGAATTGAACCTTTCCACAACTATATTGCATCGTTTCCACTTGCGGTCTCGGTTAGTCGATTATGTTGACACAAAAATTGCGAATTGTGCAAAATGCATTTCTGTTTGAACGTCCATTTTCGTAATAGGCTTCGATAACTTTAACACGTTGTTTGATTGTTAATCTTTCCATGGTTGAAATTGCCAAAGACTTAAGTTGTTAAATCTGAAAGAAAAAGAAAAAAAAATCATTAGATGTTTAAACTTAATTCAAATTTAAAATCGGTACAAGTTATTCGAACACCCTTTATAAACTTTCGTATTCGTTCATCTTAAATCGCATATTTTTAACGATATGCTGGCCTTTCTTTCATAAAGCACAATAAAGACAAACATATAAATCCATTATTAAACAAAGAAATAGAGTAACATATATTATTTTTTTTCCGAACACAAAGTAAAAAAATATATATTTCAGAAATAAATACTTAAATTTTTGCTAATTTTCAAAATATACTATGAAAAGTATGAACCTTACTTCTTTTATCTGCTGTGTCTCTTCAGGACGTAGGCGATCATGGCTCTCCACTTCATCCTATCCCTTGTAGCTCTCAATAAGTTTTGTCTTTTCGCTATTTCTACCAGGACATGTTCTGTCATCCACTTGCTCAAGCCCGCTAGGTATGTCACACATTGCTTTCCCTTGTCTCTCTTTCTCTCTATTCGACCTGTGAGTATCAGATTCTCTAAGCCTTTATTTCTCATTACGTGTCCTAGAAATTTCAGCTGTCTCTTTCTGATGTTAAGTATAAGCTTCCTCCTTGTTTGCATCTGTCCTAAAACCTCATCGTTGCTCACACGCTCGGTCTATGATATCCTTAGCATCCGTTTGCAGAATTATACCTCCGTTGCCTCGTGTCTCTTCTTTATCTTTGAGGAGACCGTCCAACATTTGCTGCCATAAAAAAGGACAGATATCACATAGCAGTTCAGCACTCTTTTCTTTGTTACCAACAAAATCCTTCTGTCTTGCAATACTCTTCCTAGCTTTTGGAATGCGTCTTTGGCCATCCCAATACGTCTACGGATCTCAGCGTCACACTTACCCTCCTCTGTCAGAACACTTCCCAGATATTTAAATTTTCGCACCTGCTTGATTTTAGTGTCGCCGACATGTAAATTGCATTTCGGGCTCATACTTTTACTTACACCCTTTTATTCATTGTTTAGTTCCGTCTAATCCGAAGCTGCGTTCTAAATGCTAAGCAGGTTGCCAAATTCGACGCAGAAATGCGGTCTTATTTGAATAACTAAGCAATTTAATTATAAAAGCTATCAAGAAAATAAAACTATGAAAAACACTAACTCGTGAAATGTCTAAGTCATATTCAGTAATCCGAAAATAATAAACCACATTTGTTTGAAATTACATTTTAATTAATTTTCAGGGTTACGAGCGGACACAGGAAAATAGTGAAGTTTATATATTAAATTTTGATCTCTGCCTTTTCTCCTTGATGGCCGAGATTGGCGTTGGTGAAGCAAACAAGAGAATCAAATCCCGAGCGTGCTTTATTTATAAATATTTAGTGAAAACCATAGGAAAATAAATGAAATGGTATCAGATGATATATTTTTTCTTGGTTTACTGGGTGCAAAACAAAATAAGCACTAAATGACGGACATACCAGTATTAGGAGAAGAAATGGATCTCTAATGGGATGCATTTAATTTTTTCAATTATATATATATATATATATATATATATATATATATATATATATATATATATATATATATATTAAATTGAAAATTAAATATATATATATATATATATATATATATATATATATATATATACACACACACATACATATATATATGTGTGTGTGTGTGTGTGTGTGTAAATGTGTATGTATGTATGCATGTATGCATATATTGCTTCCCAGCTGTTTCCTTGAGAAATATATGTCAAAAATGAAAAAAAAAAAAATAATAAAAAAAGAAAGAGAGAAAGAGAGAAAGAACGAGAGGAAGATAGAGAGATATCAGCCAATGGCTTTTGTTATCCGTTGAAGAGTGCTTAAGGTTGCCAGCCAAGAGTATCGCTCGAAGACTTCCACCTCGTCACGCTGCCGTCTTTTCATATTCCAAGGAATGTTTCCTTCTTGAATTTGGACTATTTCGCTTGAAAGTTATTTCCGTTCAAGTATTTTCAAATGTGTTCCGACTGCATTTCTTTCTTTTCTTTTTTCTCTTTCTTTCTTTCTTTCTTTCTTTCTTTCTTTCTTTCGCAGTCTATTCACATCTATCTATCTATCTATCTATCTATCTATCTATCTATCTATCTATCTATCTATCTATCACATTCTGTTCAGATCTATGTATCTATCAATCTATGTCGTCTGTCGTCTGTATCTACATATCTTATTTCTTCATGTGAGTTTATTTTGTTTCGTTTTTCGCTCACATTTTTCTTTCTTGTTTTTTTTTTCGTAATTCATTCATTCGTTCATTTTTTTTTTATTGTTTCATTTTATTAATTATTTACCTATCTTTTTTTTTTTTTCTATTTCTCTTTTTTTGTTGATTTTCTTCTGCGATAAAAGAAATTCTTTGATTTTTGTTTTTTTATTTTTCATTCTTTCTTTGGAGCTTTTTTTTTTCTTTACGTTTATTTTCTGAAGTTCTTTTGTCTCTTTTATTCATTTTTTTTTTCCAGGTTATTTTACTTCTTTTACTCTCTTTTTTTTCTTTTTTTAGACTTTCTTTCTTCCTTCCTTTCTTTTCTTTTTCTTTCTTTTTTTTTTCTTTCTTTCTTTTTTCTTTCTTTCTTTCTTTCTTTCTTTCTTTTCTTTCTTTTTTTCCTTTTTTTTCTTTCTTTTTCGTTTTTTTTTTATATTTCCACACTATTTCTTTCTCATTTTCTTTTTCTTCCTTTTTCTTCCTATTTTCCTTCTTTTTTATTTCCTTTCTTTCTTTCCATCTTTTTAATTCGTTTTGTTTTTTTTTATATATCCACTATATTTCTTTCTTTTTTTTCCCTTTCTTTTTTTTTTCTTTTTTTTTCCTATTTTCCTTCTTTTTTTTTTCTTCCCACCCATTTTCGTGTTTTTTTTTTCCCATCCATATTTCCACACAATTTCTTTCTTTCTTTCTCATTTTCTTTCCTTTTTTCTTTTTTCCTATTTTTTTTTTTTTTAATTCCCTCCATCTCGTGTTTTTTTTAATATATCCACTATATTTCTTTCTTTCTTTCTTTCTTTCTTTTTTTTTTCTTCCTATTTTCCTTCTTTTTTTAATTCCCACTCCATTTCGTGTTTTTTTTTATATTTCCACACTATTTCTTTCTTTCTTTCTCATTTTCTTTTCTTTTTCTTCCTATTTTCCTTCTTTTTTATTCCCACTCCATCTCGTGTTTTTTTTAATATATCCACTATATTTCTTTCTTTCTTTCTTTCTTTCTTTCTTTCTTTCTTTCTTTTTTTTTTCTTCCTATTTTCCTTCTTTTTTTAATTCCCACTCCATTTCGTGTTTTTTTTTATATTTCCACACTATTTCTTTCTTTCTTTCTCATTTTCTTTCCTTTTTCTTCCTATTTTTCTTCTTTTTTTATTCCCACTCCATTTCGTGTTTTTTTATATTTCCACCCTATTTTCTTTTCTTTTTTCTTCCTATTCCTCTCTTTCCTTCTTTCTTTCTTTCTTTTTCGTGTTTTTTTTATATTTCCACCCTTTCTTTTCTTTTTTTCTTTCTTTCTTTCAAAACTCACTCTCTTTCTTATCGTTTGATTCACATTCCCTCAATTATCCGTTGTTTATTTGATCCGTTCGCTTGTCAATCCGGACAGTCAGCCTTTCACTATTTCCTTCACGTCATATCTCGTCTGCGTCAGTCATTTAATATTTTTAATTGTCCTTCCCTGGTACAACTCGACCACGTTTTCCTGTTTAAAACGAGCACCGTTTCGTGCATTTTCCCCAACCCAAATATATAAACAACCACGCAAGCAAAATTATCGAGCCTTTTTTGAATTAAGGTCACATTAACTTTTATTGCCTAATCTTATCTTTCTTGATTTGCTTTTATTACAACAGTTAAATACGAACGAAAAAAAAAGACATTAGCATACACAATGAAAAGAGACTTTCTGTCTGAATTTCTGGGACGAGGAGTCATCATTATTTACAGTCAGACTGCTATCTCCATCTTTGTTGTCATTATCACAACATTTTGACCGTTGTGGCTCCAGCCCAGCCGGGCCCAGCCCAGCCCAGCTCAGATGCCCAGCCCAGCTAACATGGTACTTACTTGTAACATTGCAGACATGTATTTTAGTTTAAGGATATGTAGCGTTATGACGTTACTGTAAAACTGCAAAAAAAAAAAAAAAAATGACCGCTCACAATGGTAACGTTGTGGAGAGCCGTAACCAAAAAGGGTTCTCACCAATCAATCATAACATAAGGATAGTTGGGCACTTCGACGTGGTGTAATAGTTAGGAAGCTTGTCCTGCTATATCAGTTACGACTGAGTAGTGAGTTCGATCCACACTGGGTGCCTCACACTTTTGGCCTTGTGCCACATTTAAGATACGCTTAGAAAAGCAATTTCTGTGCGCTCCCATGTGGTTTAATGGTTAGAAAGCATATCTTGCTAAATCAATTACGATTGAGTAGTGAGTTCGATCCACACTTGGTGACCCTCACTTTCGACCTTGTGCCATATTTAAGCTACACTTAGAAAATAACATAAGAATAATGTTGCCTTATTTAAAAACTAGCCGAAATACCCGCTCCTTTTTGGATGTCGCGCGTTTTTGTAACAAAATGATGATTGATTTTAAATCATTGTTATAATTTGTGGAGAAACATGAAGCATTTCAGTATTACTCTATGATCTTGCCGATGTGACCTCCATCTTCTGGCTTTCTCCTAATTTTTGGATAGAAATGAATAACCTGTTCAAATTTAAATTTAATTTAAATCAAATGGAAAAAAAAAATCAGTGTTGGCTTGTGCTTCCCGGGGACCTCCCTTTAATCAAAATGAAATATACTTATCCAAGTGTCCTAGGAGTCATTGTTCCAATTTAAATTTAGTTTATATCAAAGGGAAAAAAATCAGTGGTGGTTTGGGTTGGGGGATACCCCACCCGGTAACCCCCTTTGATCAAAATGAAATATACGTATCCAAGTACCCTGGGTAATGTAGTTTCAGAATATGTATGGTTATGGGGGGGTCTATCTCTAAAACCCTAGGATTTCGATAACAAACAGACAGACAGAGTCTACAACTTTATATATATATAGATGTGCAATTTCTAAAGAAGTAAGGAATTTCTTTTATTAATCCGACAGATTTTATTAATTTAAACGTTATTTGTAATGGATGCCCATATATGAGTAGACGCTCCGTTTATTTATTAAACAATATATTTTTTTCGGCTACCGGCCTGAATATTCGAGAAATATATTTAAAAAAAAATTCCTGCTGGAGAGATGCATATTTTTCTTTAATTAGATCTCTCGAATATTCAGGCCGGTAAAAAAAATACTGTTTAACAAATAAACGGAGCGTCTACTCATATATGGGCATCCATTAAAAATAACACTTAAAGCGATAAAATCTGTCGGATTAATAAAAGAAATCCTTTACGTTTTTAGATAGGGGTGTCCATTAAAATACACTTAAAGTGATATTATCACTATGTATAGAAGGTATAAATTTTAATTTCTGGATTTTTAGAATAGCAAATTTAGATGAGGAATTCACGTTTGAATATCTTCCGTAAATTTATTAAGCATTTTCTGTTAATATGACGTTACAAGGCAGCGTATTTGCCACGTTACAATGCAACGCAGTTGCCACGTTACAATGTAATGTATTATTTGCAATGTTACACGGTAACGTTACAAATCAACGTTATGAGGCAATTGGTAGCCGAAATGCATAATTGTAAGCGTGCTACTAGGTTGGCATTATGGTCCCACCCTTTCACTGTCGAAACGGTTAAATGTAGCCGTCTCTTCTACTCCAGCGGCTTCTTTTCTCACACTTCCCGACATTGGAACTCCCTTCCTCTTACTTGCTTCCCTGACAGCTATAATCTTTAAATATTCAAATGTAATGTCAATCGACATCTTCTGATGCCTTGATCTTGATCCCCGTCATTCTATTTATCCTTTCCTCACACCCCCCCTCTTTACTCTTGCTGTCACTCTCTGTAATCTCTTGTGTGCTAGTGGCACTCCCGTCTTGCTTGGGGTGATATGATTAAAAAAAGATTATTTGCAACGTTGCAAGGCAAAGCATTTTTAACCTTATAAAGCAGCGTGTTTGCAAGGTTAGAAGTTAACGTTGCTGGTATGTTGTGTGAATGTTACAAAATCAAACACTTGAGAGTAAAATTCTTTTTTAAACTTAATCCTGGGTATGACGATGAACTACATCCGGCAGCAAAGCCTCTCATCAGGAGATTGGAGGTTTTGAGGATCGTGGAACCACCTTTTAATTGCTGTTGTTCCCAAGTCTACCCTGAACCGGGTGGCAGCACCTGTTAGGATCCCAGCTATTGAAAAATAGTGCCCCCCCCCAACAAAAACAAAACACTATCAAAAGTATAAAAATACATTTTTATATTAAAATTACCACCAATACATATTTATATAAAATATGAAAACACTACCTATAATAAACTGACAACAATAAATATTTAAAGTAACATGACTAACGATAAATTTTATCTTTAGTTGAAGGCATACAACTGTGTTCAAGATATTTACATTTCGGCATTAAATAACCCATGGAAGTGTTGATATCCCGCTAAATAAAATCAACCAAATCATTTTTAAATTAAATTGAAATTTTAATCTTTTTAAATGCTTTCAGTGAAGCCTCCTGACAAGTGGATGTACTATCCGTGAAACTCAGAGTAGGGGAAGATAAGTGAACATTTAATTACATTTGTTAATATTAATGTGCCGTGTCTTGATATTGAGCACGAAAAACGTCCTCTAAACAAAGTGTTAGGAAGATTTCGTTGGAAACAAAGACTGCCTAAATGTTATGCAATATCAATTCGCCTAATTGCAGTTATTCTTGAACAATCTTTGATATAAAGATGAAAACTGAGGTAACAGAGGCGTTGTTCTATAAATGGATGCGAAGAATTTCATGAACAGAACATGTGATTAACGAGGAAGTTTTAATGAAAAATGATTCCTGATATAATCGCCCAAAATTCTCGAACACTTATATTTCCGATGTCCTTTCTCGTTTCAGATCTTTGCTACCGTGACTAGCACCACCATAGTGCCAGTGGAATAGGCCCCGGTCCATACGGGAAAAATGAGACGGCATAATATAATTAATGTTGTTCATAAAACCCAGGACCATCACAGACATCGTGAACTTGCTGTGTATCACCGTGGGTACCACTGTGTTTCCAGTACATATCTGTCTGGCGATGTTTTTTTTTTTTTTTTCTAATTGCAAAGAAAATAGAGACGACCTGTGTATATGTCCAGAATAACTCCTTCCTAAAATATAGCCAGGTATAGTTTAGCCCTGTTCAAAATGATCAAGATTTATTGTATATAAAACACAATTGTGGTACAAGGCCTAAAAGGGGAAATGGGTTGAGGCTGGTGGTCACTTACTATCTCATACCTAGCTAATCTGATTCACGACCCATTCACTCGTTACAATTAACCCCTCCACCACAAGAACTCATCCATCATCAATCAGTCCTTTATATACCATAATGCCGCATACTCTTAGGGAACCTACAAACGATACCACATGATATAAAATTTAATGAGCATAAACCTTGTTCTTCTGATGCCTTGATCTTTATCCCCGTCATTCTCTTTATTCTTTTCTCAA